TTTCCCCTTCCCTCAGAGAAAGATGCTCCATTTAATCTGATGGGTTTTGTTACCTTGGGTAGCTTCCTTACCCAGTCAGCCTTAGGCCTTGCTGGGACCCAATCCAGCAAAGCTTTTAGCACGTGTTTAAGTTTAAGCATGTGTTTAACTTCCCTTGATTAAAGTTAAACACATACTTAAGTGTTTTGCTGAACTGGGGTTTCTCTGAAGTAAGGTATGTGGGATGCCAGCCAGTTTCTTTTCAAAGTTGTGATCAATTCTACCCAGCTCAGCAGGTTTTTTTCTTAATATGTTTTACACCAAGTTGATTTTGGCTGTTGATAAGATATTTACCTCCATATCAATAATTTGCAAGTGTGCATGCACACATGCAGAGAACTTTTTTTTATCTGTAAATTTGTAACAGTCTGAGAGGGAAGTAAAATACAGAGAAAAATACCACTGGGTGTATTTCTTAGGGAAGATGTGTTTAAATTCAGATTGTAACCTGAACGGCCTACTAGGATTCTCCAACCGTTGCTCGTTTTCATTAGTAATGTGCCAGCGATGCCCTCTTAACGTGACTTTTTGTAGCAATGTAACATTCAAAGCAACTGTCAATCTCTGTAGTCAGTGTGAAGAAAGCAGTCAAAGGAAATAAGCAGCATCAGCAGATGCCTGGAAGATCGAATCCTATCTGAGTTGAACTGAACTACTTGATGCAGTTGGTCTGGGATGACTTCTTCTGGTTCAGTCATAGTGTAGTACAATGAATGAAGCTGGCTTCTTCCACCTTGTGTAGCTGCAGTAACAATTTTTGGTATGCTATTTTGCAGGCCATTTTGTTCCAGCTCAGCCTTGAGATGCCAAGGCATCATCAACTGGGTGAGGAATGCATGTTACCTACCCAGTAAAGAAGGAGTCAAAAATAAGAAAAAAACACCCAAATGGAGAAGAAAGCATACTGAGGTATACCACTCCTCAAAAGACCATCATCTATGGAAAATGGGCCAGAGAAAGCAATGTATTCTTAAATAATATAGGAGCTGTGTTGCTCCAAACCACATGAAAGATGTAAGAAATAGTGAAATGGCTCTGAATTTGTCAAGAAAGGCCATCCACAGTTGCACTGATGTAAGGTTATCCCACGGAGTGTTAGCCGCACTTGCACAAGCACACATTTCCTCAGTTGAATCCTTAGAGCAAGTAAGAAATCAAGAATAGCTCTTCTGGTTTTGTGCTCTCAAGCAAAATATTTGTGAAAATAATTATTTAACATGGTAGGGATGTCTGTGAGTCTTGTCCCAATGTAGCTTTTGTTCAGTCTAGATGCAATTTTACATTCCTATCATTTTGTTAAACATCTTTGCCTTTTGACCTCTCTCAACACTATTTTCTTTTATGAAAATAATTAAGCTCATACTAGGCAAAGTAGCAGTTTGTTACAACTCCCTGATTTTCTCTCAGCTTTCCAGCCACGACATAATTTAGAGCAGCCACTTCTAAAAATACAGCAAGGCTTTAGTGTGGCCTTGAATGAAATGAACTGGAGTCACACCAGTCACACCAATGCAAAGTAAGCAAGAAAAGAATGAACCAAGTATCCCAGTGAAATTTTTTTCTCCTCAAAAGCTTGTTTAAAGGTAAAGTCCCACAACTGATTATACTGTCTTGTATTCTTTCTGGTGCATATGGTGCTTCAGCTCCTGATTTTAACCTGCATAATTTGGTGCTGAAGAAAGCCCTGAAAGCAAAGTAAACAGATAAGAATACCAAAATTGATAGTGTCTGAGCAAGTCAAAAACAAGATTATTTTTCTAAAAGCCAACCTATCTTTTCATTACTTTAGCTTTCTTGTAGCCAAAGATTATTTTCTCCGACTATTTCAATTGATGCTAACCATGTAAATCCTTTGGGAATTAATGGAAGAGAGACATATATGATGCCAGACCACAGATGAGCTCATAGCCACACAAGGAAATTAATTAATAAGGAAAGACTGAGATGCATTAGTTTCAGTCAATTTGCACATTCCAGGGATCACTAGTAAAGTAACTGTTGTCATAATATTTTTTCTTTTAATATTAAAAAATATTCAGACCACACAACTGAATCCTGCCCTACGGAATCTTCAAAATTCTGTGCTACAGGATGTACATCTGTAATTCCATTCACTTGTCTGCTAGACACATGTGCATTGCAGGGTATAATTTGGCCCATCATTATGTTTTCCTAACATAAATTAACATTTTTCCCAAGCTACCAAGCCAAACACAACAAAAACTACTGCCAGTATCTCTACAGTAAGATCTAAATATAAACTCACGGGGATAAGATGCTTACCATAGTGTTGTAATTTGCATCAATATTGAAGGTTGGAGAAGTACTGCACATTTTGGAGAGCTGCCCATCATTCTTTGCTTTCCTTAGAACATCGTAAGTGGGCTTTAGAGGTTTCTGATCATGAAAACTTTTTCTCAGGTGGCTTTCCAGGCATTGTTGGGCATCATTAACAACTTCAAAAACCCCAAAGTCAGAGTTAAACTTAACTGGCTGGGCAAAAGTCTGCAAAAAAAAAAAAAAAATTGAAACATTTATAACATTGGAACAAGGGAACTTTTTAATGTACGGAAGTTACTTTTTATAGTATAGGAGCATCCTGCAGGATGCAACCTGGTATTATGAGGTTTCTTTCTCTTGCCTGCAGTAGCTTATGTTTGGGGCCTGGAATAGTAGCTTTTTCTGTATTCTTGTTCTTTAGTCTCCTTGCTGTAGAGTTTTCCAAATCAATCCTACTTTTTGTCTCAGCTATGCTTAATTGTGAAGAATTTTAATTCATTCTAGATCACAGACCATTCTTTTTCACATGCAAACAATAGGTCCAGTACACAGATGTCTAGAATATATAATTCACAGTGACTTT